GCAGGCACATACACACACATGCACATACACAACACACACACACTCACGCAGGCACACACACACACACACACACACACACACGCACGCACACGCACACATACACACGCAGGCACACGCACACACACACAGGCACATGTACACACACACACACAGGCATATGCACACACACACACACACACAGGCACATGCACACACACACACACACGCACACGCACACGCGCACACACACACACGCAGGCACGTGCTTCCATTTCTTCTGCTTGGCCACAGCTGCTCTCTGAGAGAGCAATGCAGCCACCATGTTCCAGAACCACTGCTAGCGCCCTTCTGTGACTCCCGAGGGCCCTGGCCCCGCGACGCCTCTTCTACTTCTTGAAGCCACTGTCCCCATCGTTTGGGCTTTCTGCAACTTAGCTTTTTTGTTGTTGTTGTTGTTTTGTTTTTTCGAGACAGGGTTTCTCTGTGTAGCTTTGCGCCTTTCCTGGAACTCACTTGGTAGCCCAGGCTGGCCTCGAACTCACAGAGATCCGCCTGCCTCTGCCTCCCAAGTACTGGGATTAAAGGTGTGCGCCACCACCTGGCTTCGCTTTCTTAGCTTTAATGGCTGATTCTTTTCCACCCGAATTGCCTTTCCCTCACCTGTCCAGAGGTGGAGGTAGGTGGGATCATTTTCATGTTTTCCCGTGAGTCTGAGTTCCTTCTGCTGGAGCCTCACACACCACCCACCCCTCCCATTCCAGACTGCCAAGCTTGCAAGACTTAGTCTCTGCCTGGCTTCCTCTTCTCCCACGCTCATGGAGAGGGTCCGCATCTCCACAGGTCGTCCAGATCTGCAGCTCTCGCTGCCCCTTACCTTCGGTTGTCCACACACCGATGACACATCCCCGCACGCCACTTCAGCCCTATTCAGTCCCTTTCCCTGGATTCCTGCGCCTTTAGGGAGGATGCCATAAACCTAGGTAAAGTCAGGCAGGGCGGAAAACTAAGGGGTTTTATGCTGGGGGAGGGGGTGAGTGTGAAGGTTAAAACAGGCCCAGTATACAGGGGAAAGGTCCAACAGAGGAGCCACAGCAGTGGTGTATACTATAATCTCAGCCCTTGGGAAGTTGAGGCAGGACTGAAAATTTCAGGCAAGCTCAGGCTACATCACAAGACCCTACCTCAAAA